TGAGTGCCGTTGTCACGTCAGCCACCTTGGAAATGGACCAGAATTTGGTCGAATATTCCAATATAAGAAACGCTCTAAAGGAATGACAATACATCCATAACGCACAAGAACTTATAAGACATGCAACAACTGTCCTGGTGTGAAACTAACACCTTACCACATATTCTCATGCCCAGCAATGGCCGCAGCCTTGCAGAAAATTGATATGGACGCAGAACAGCAGTTTTACACACCCAAGATAGTGGACATTGCGACTGCTATGATAGAGATGTATGGAGATATCTGAGGCTCTTCATTGAACACGACAACAACAGAAAATTGACATGGACCCAGAACAGCAACTTTACATACCCAAGATAGTGGACATTGCGACTGCTGTGTAGAGATGTATGGAGATATCTGAGGCTCTTCATTGAACACGACAACAACAGAAAATTGACATGGACCCAGAACAGCAACTTTACACACCCAAGATAGTGGACATTGCGACTGCTGTGTAGAGATGTATGGAGATATCTGAGGCTCTTCATTGGACACGACAACAACAACATAAAATTGACATGGACTCTGAACAGCAACTTTACACACCCAAGATAGTGGACATTGCGACTGCTGTGTAGAGATGTATGGAGATATCTAAGGCTCTTCATTGGATATGACAACAACAACATAAAATTGACATGGACCCAGAACAGCAGTTTTACACACCCAAGATAGAGAACATTGCGATTGCTGTGATAGAGATGTATGGAGATATCTGAGACTCTTCATTGGACACGACAACAACAACATAAAATTGACATGGACCCAGAACAGCAGTTTTACACACCCAAGATAGTGAACATTGCGACTGCTGTGATAGAGATGTATGGAGATATCTGAGACTCTTCATTGGACACGACAACAACAACATAAAATTGACATGGACCCAGAACAACAGCTTTACACACCCAAGATAGTGAACATTGCGACTGCTCTGATAGAGATGTAAGGAGATATCTGAGGCTCTTCATTGGACACGACAACAACAACGATATTATCTAATGACAAGAATGGGTAGAATGAGATATTTATATACCGAGTAACTATAAAGATTAAATAAAAATGGAAATAAAATGATGATTATCGTCTATATAAGGGACTAAAAGAAGCCTATTCAATGTTACATGTTAAAAATATGGTTTTAATAAATTTAACTTTATCTAAAGAATAAAAAAATGATTAAAGAAATTCTATGCATGTTTGGATTATGACAAAATAAATGGTGGTGTATATATTTCCGGCATATTACTAATGTTTTTATTCTTTTGAGGCTGCTGAACTTCCTCCAGTTTTACTTTATAATCATAAATTATATAGGTCTAAATTCAGAGGTTTCTATGTGGTTTGTGCGTTTTATTCGCTTGCAGATTGGATACAAATTCAGTATCTCAAGATGAATGTGTAAAATAGTTGTTTAGTAAATTGACTTAGATTAGATACGGCGTTTTATGGTTTCCACAAGTCCATATCTCAGAAGAAGGCCAAGTGACACTCACTCCTCACTTTCTTACTGCTACTCTTTTTGTGTTGTTTTTCTTGCTTCCCTCTTTCTTGTTTTTCTTTTTTCTTTTTCTTCTGTCTATATCGTTATTTCCTTTGTCTCACTGCTTTTTTCTTTTGCATACCTCTGGTGAATCCTGTATAAGGTCAGTGACCCTAAATAAAGGCTTTTTGTTGTTGTTGTTGTTGACTTAGATTAGATGTAGGGTATGGATGACGGGTTCACAACTTGGATATATCAATTGAACATAATGAAGAATAGGTAAGAGAAGCAGAATAAGTAGAGGAAATTTTATATTCTTATTTCTTCTAAAAGTTAAAATAAGATTTAACAACGGGACCAAGCTTATAAATATAAATATACGGGGGTCATATACTTGTCCATAAAGCAAAAAACAAAAAAAAAAACAACTGTGGTAACGCGAACCAGAATAGAACCTTCAATATAAAATAAAAGTAAATTTGTTTGTTTTATTTATTTTCCATTTTCAATAAATTAATATTTACAGTTATCAGCGTCATAATCAAGCAACAATTCTTAATCAATTCTGTCACCGTTTGCTTTGTGAATGGAATAAATACCCAAATATGGCCATTTCTCATAACCATCGGTGGTTCAGTGGTAGAATGCTCGCCTGCCACGCGGGCGGCCCGGGTTCGATTCCCGGCCGATGCATTTTTTTTTTTTACAATTTTTTAAACTCATTTATATATTGTACAAGAATGACATCCACGGCGCCAATTTATAATTGTAACGAATAGTATTTGAATAAAAGCATTTAATCGGGTAAAACCCGGGCGTTGCCCGGGTCATTTGGCTAGTATATATATAAGTGTGCGTAAAAAAAAAGAATATATATATTTATTGTGAATTTTTTATAAGTAATAAGTTAATGCAAGTATTTACGTTAAAAATATTAATATGGAAAAAGAGGAAAAATAGAGATTATATATATATATATATAATTCTTTTTTTTTTCAAACACCAAGAGCTATAACAAGGTTCACGTAAAAAAGCTTCTGCAGTTACGCGTCATTTATGCGTAGCATATTGAGAAAAATAGAAAGAAGAAAATAGAGAGTAGAAAAGAGCTAAAGACAACACCATGAAGATGTATGTTCAAATTATAAAATAAGAACGAAATTTTAAAACTTTAAAAATGTATATATTTTGTTTTTAAAATTATTTCAAGTTTTAAGTTTAAAAATCCTCTAGTGCAAATTGGCATTAAAATATTTCAATTGTTTTTTTATCAAAGGATGGAAAAACCCTGTTTTGTTTCTTTAAAAATCAGGATACGAAGATGAACAATTATCTTCCTTTCCAATTATCTATCTACAGCCTAACTCGAGCTGTCTCTATGCAAAACCATAAACAAACATGATGATAACTACTCTTTTTTTTTTTTTTTTTTTTATTCTCTGAATTATTTACAATTACATCACATGTGGTTCAACCAGGAGGAAAAAGGTTTGGTACCGCGTTGGGTCTTGTCAAAAGTTAACCTGGCGGAGGTGTCGACCCGCACTAGACGGCACTACTAATCTCTTAGATCTTGTATTAAGCTATGGAGCTCCTTACAAGGTCAAAGAGATTGGTAGATGCAATGTCTTCTATTGTGTTTCAGATGCCTAAATTCAAGTGTCTGAGTCTTTCAACTCCCTATTCTTGTTTCATGTTTATTTATTTATTTATTAAGGTTTAAAAGTTCTTGTTTCATATCGCTACTGCTTCGCCAGGTTAATTAAAATGATCTTGAACATTTGCTACTGAAAAACCGATTTAGATTCTATATCGATTGGAAATTTCAGACCAACAGATAATTAGTTGTTCCTTAAAATCATTAAATATGGTGTTCTAAAAATGTCATTCAAATTTTTTATATACAAAAATATATAGGTATAGGTACACAGGTATAGGTATATATAAGTAGTTCCTTTCTAGGTACACATATATAAATATGACAGATAAAAACAGTTGATTTTTCAATTTAGGTTTCAATATATTGAAATATCTGCATTTATATTTTTCGGAGATATCAGCTTGATAGGTTTGTATTTTTTTCAAATAGTTAGTTAATAGTGTGTATAAATTCTAGATATTAAATCAGCTTACCTCTTATTTTATGCTCTGATAAATCAGAGAGATTGAGCTGTGAGACATCCATTTTCAATTTTTAAATACTTCATTAATTTTTTTTGTTTGTGGAGCCAATAATTAAAATCGTTTAAAAAATAAAATCTTATATATATACACCAAAAATTATTACTATACACATTTAAAATTTTACTGGCTAGGTTTATTCTACGCGGCACATTGATCTTAAAAGCCATTTATTTCACTTTATAGAAAATCCCAGTAAATAAATAAGCCGCCAATAAATTTGTTCGAAATCGAATAAAGAAAAATCGCTACAGGTGCAAACTCAGCTCCCCAAATTAAAAGGCAAAATGACGTAATTTTCTCTCCCGATGAGAAATGCCACGTGTTTCCGAGAGTCCCCCAATGGTCGGAGAGAGATATAGGGGCTGAGGGGGGGGATGGGGGCATTTGTCAAGACGGCCCCCTTCTATACACGACTGGGCTTTCACAAGATTGCCCCCCAGAATGGACCAACTAAATGATTTCTTCCGCAATGAGAGTGGCGTGGTTCATTTCTGCCAGAGGAGCTTAATGTAGTTGGGAAAAATGGTTTGGATCAGGGATTCGCTCCATTGGGAACGACCGCTGTCCTCTATGGAAGGCGAAGTTGCATATTCCACTACTGCACTCTTAGAATCCCCCCTTGAATATATTTACATAACATTTAAAATTCCATATCCAGTTATAACAAGTGGCCTGATATCATATGCAAAGATATACAATATAAAACTATTCTTATTCTTTCTTATCTCCACTAAATCATATTAGGGTATCAAGCTTGTAAAGCTTGGGACTTTTGATATGTCTGTCGGGGATGAGTAGAGCTTATCAATGCATGAGTCAATACAGTCAATAATGTGTTTTGGGATTGCAGGTTGAGAATTGCACTTAGTACATAGTGGGAAAACTCTGAAACCATTACAATATAATTCTAATTAATGGAAGACCATCTCCTGGTTCTGCAACTATATACTACTGATGGCATAGCTCCATCTATCTGCATTTTTGACATATTTATATCATGTCATCACACATTATAAATGTGTAAAAATATAATCTCACTCTTTAAAAAGGCATAGAAACAATTCATTTATCCATAACCTCAGTGAAAAATACGTTGACTCAAATAGGTGAATATGTCAAAACACCAAATCCTTTAAGTTTAAAGCAACACGCACTTGTATTCGAATAAATCAATTCAAGCTTTTATTTGAGGCGATTTATAGATATACTAGCCGAATGACCCGGGCAACGCCCGTGTTTTACCCGATTGAATGTTTTGATTCAAATACTATTTGTTACAATTATAAATTGTGGTCACGTGGCCTAGTGGTCATGGCATCTGCCCGGTAAGCGGAAGGTCGTGGGTTCGATTCCCATCCCTTGACACTTTTTTTATTTTATCCATTCTGACCAAAATCTATCCGTGAACTTCACACAGTGAACTTCACACAGACAGAATAAGGCAATTATATAAGTAGATATATGAAAAAACAATAGAAAAAAACAAAATAAGTGGGTCAGGTGTTGATATTAAAAACAAAGTAGGTATATCCTGACCAGGAGCACATGTGCTTTTCAGAAGGCAGAGCGCCATCTGGTGGAACAGAAATCAACTATTCATTGATTTTAACCTGTTCCCTGAACGCGTTCCCCTAGCGCGAAACGCGTTCGTGGATGTCTTTTCTTGATTTATAAAAAAATTGGGTTGGCCAAATATCAGGGAACAGGTTAAATCAATGAATAGTTGATTTCTGTTCCACCAGATGGCGCTCTGCTTTCTGAAAAGCACATGTGCTCCTGGTCAGGATATGCCTACTTTGTTTTTAATATCAACACCTGACCCACTTATTTTTTATTTTTTTCTATTGTTTTTTCATGTGTTAAGCGTATTAACGCAAGTTTGGCCTTAAATACCCATTTCTTGGTTTTTCGGGAAGCTACTGGGACCAAAAATATTTTTTGGTCGCAGTGGTACAGCCAACTCCACGCTGACGAACGCCAACAGCGCGAAACGCGTTCGTGGATAGCTTTTCTTGATTTATCAAGAAATTGGGTTGGTCAAATATTAGGGAACAGGTTAAATCAATGAATAGTTGATTTTTGTTCCACCAGATGGCGATTTACCTTCTGAAAAGCACATGTGCTCCTGGTCAGGATATGCCTACTTTGTTTTTAATATATATATATCATTTTTTCCCTCAAAATCATGAAGCATGTAAACACTAACAAATGTTGGCATACTTTGACATTTCGATATAAAAAATAGCACTAAAGTGAACTGTACAGGGATTAGGTGGATAGATTAAGTAAAAATCAACTCTTGATCGTACAAATGAAAGATTCTGATGGCTTGCGCCATTTATAAGAATAAATTAAAACTAATCGTTAATATTATAAGTTACTTTAAATATTATTTACGAACGGAGAAATACGTCCAGGGTAGCCTAGTGGACATGGCACCTGCCCGGTAAGCAGAAGGTTGTGGGTTCGATTCCCGCCCCTGGACACTTTTATTTTTCCCGTTCGCCATTACTCTTCATATTTTCACCCTTTCATACTTCATTCAAAAAAGTTAGAAATAGTAAATATTTCTCTTTAAAATAAATTTTGATTTTTCATAAAAAAGAAACTTATGCGGTATCACTTTATGTATTGTTTATAATCACACGCCGCAGTTCTTTATAATGTATTATAATGTAATCGTTAATTATTAATTATTCTAGAATATTGAAAAAATAGATTTTATCGATGTAGAATAAATGAAATCAATATAACCCGTTCCTACTATCACACAAGAAAGGGTGTTTATCCAGTATATTTACAGAAATTAAAAGTCAACGATTAGTTGAAATTCAATCCGACAGATTGCGCAAGCCATCATAGACTTTAAGTTGCACGATAAAGGGATGCTTTTTACTTAACATTTCAGAATGAATTATTACTGCAAGTTCGACATTACATGGTAGCAAACCTTAATAAGGACCAGATAGAAGGAAAACATCAGCCCAATCTGGTAACGACCACAGTTCAACGTCTTCTATAATCTCAACTTCCTGAATGTTATTGCCGTTCTTAATTATTTATAGAAGTGAACTTTTAATCACCTTCCTTTACACAAGCACAAAAAACACCCCATAGGCCGTTAAGACAAAAATTAGGTAAATGGGGGCGTAGGATTTATGTGTAAAACTGTAAAGTGTCTTGCAGATAAAGGAAGGCATAAATTCAAATGACAAGTGTAATATCTTTATGCGTCACCTCCCTGTCTTTTATCGCCAATTAAGAAGTTGGACCAAAGCTAATTTATTGGAAGGAATTAAAGAGGACAGTTAGCATTCCTTCTTACGAGTTATAGCTTCAAAACTCAATCTGAAGACGGCAAACATTTGCCATCGTACTGTGATTGAAGACTGACTCTTTAGTATAATGGCTCTTTTTCATTGTTTCGTAGAGCTGCCAGTACTCTGGTCGTTTTGTTAATTGCTTCATTGCTACCGCAGTACTAACCAGGTTTGATTAATATTGAGGTTGCCTGTCTAGCCGAGATTCTAAGATCGAATTGTATTCTACTGCCTCATATTCAGTTGAATATGGTAATTCAATAAGATGGCCCTTATATGGTTAATCTTAACGAATTTGTACTTTTCAGCATTTTTTTGCTTATCTCTAGTACACGTGGTACAGGCCATGATAATCATGGTGGGTAGAAGTTGACGACTGCTTTTACTGTAAGCGCACCACATGTCTACACATGTGAAAAGCAGTTCGACTTTGCACTTAAAAATATGCCAGAGCCCCGTTTGGTTACTTGCACTCGCTGGTGGGGTTGGACTTTTGCAAGAATCGTAGGCCATTGGAGCATTTTTTTCTTAATCATAAAAAAAATTGCCCAATGCGGGAATCGAATCCGGGTCGTAGCGGTCGAAAACCAACGGTTTAGACCATCTTTACACCGACCCCCAATCTTTTTAGCATGTATATCGAGATTCAGACAATAACTCTGAAAGATACACTCATGGACAGAACTTGAAGGAGATTTTAAATTTTAGCATATATATCGGGATTAAGACAATAACTCTGAAATATATTTTATACACAATACACAGTGATCTTTATTGAAGACACTTGAGATAACCAAGTGTGAACAAAATTGCCTCTGTCTCCTTAAAAAAACATATATAACTATATTCTAGTTGACAATAAATCTCTCAACAAGATACTTTTAGATATATATATATATACAATGACTATGTGGACTAGATGAGATGTCATCTTTTAGCTTTTAAAAAACAACTTTGATTCATCTTTTTCTATACAATAAAAAACCCCTTTAATACAATATTAGTCTAATAGTTTGTCCTTTTATACTTAAGAATACTGAGTCTCTTTTTCATGGTTAAAATTAAGGTTAACTTGCTATAGTATGATCTTATATATATATATATATACATCTTGGGGTGCATATATATATATACGACCGGGACATTAAAGAAGTTCCACTTCAAGTTTGACCATGAGTACATATATATTGAAGTGTTGCTTAAAATATGATATGCAGGTTTTATTTGCGTAAAAAGTTTTGCTCGATGCATTTATTTACTTGTGGTTGTGATGTATGTACTTCAAGAGAACCATATAGGTTCCTTAAGTACCCAAACACCTTCCTCAGAAATTACATTTCACATGAGATAACCTGTCCAATACAATAGTATGGCGGTCTGGAGATTAATCTCTTAATTATAGCCACGCTCAATAAATTGAAACAGCAAGTAGGTAAACAGCGTGGTAAGTTTCTTTATTGGGAACTACGAGCTTTCGGACATCAGCTGCCCTTCATCAGGTACAATGGGTGGTTGGAAAAAGTGAACCAATATATACATGGAGTAAATTAGCATAAGAGAAAGCTAACTAACATCTATTTAAAATAATTAAGAAATTTACATAAGAACTAAAGATAAAAGTACGAAATTTCTAAAAAATAGACTAAAAAATCTGTGTATGACGGATAAAAGGTAAAACACGAGAAAAAGGATGGGGAGAAGAGCGTAGGCATCTAGGCACAATGAAGGAAGGAAGCGAAATAAGATGTCAGTGGCCAAGTTTAGAAAAAGCAGTATATTGAGGGGGGAGATCTATTTTCCTATTAAAACTAGGGATGGAGTTAGACAGTGAGTGGGTTGGCCGCCGATGAGCTAAGCCCCTAGAAAAAAATGCATTTATAAAAGAAACCGTCGATATGAAGCTATACTGTTGTAAAAAATATTGTAACATCATTTTAACAAAATCTAACGTAAGCCAAACTATATGAGTAAAATTATAAAATCTTTTTTACAAGATGTATATCTTGTATATTAAAAAAATGTTAGGTTTTTTAGGTAAACATCTACAAACTTATTCAACCTTTTGAAAAGCCAATTTGGCTGAAAGCTTGTATTTCTAAACAATAAGAACAAAAAACTTATTGGGAAAATATCTTCTATTGTTTTAACACTCTTTACAACACAACACACAATATAAATATATATATATGACATAATAAAAATATGATTTCTATTATTCATAAAATAATTAAAATTCTATAATCACAGAGTTAAATTTTAAAATGAAAAGGAATCCTTAACAAAAAAATACAACCCAATATTGTTTTTGTTTGTAAATATATAATAACATCGTTAGTTGTAGGTATGCAAAAACTGTTTGCTTTAAAAAATAATCAAAAATAATAAATATTTTTTGGGACAAAAGTTATCATTCATTTTTACCATCCACGACTGCATGAATTGGTAACGTAAATAGAATATACGTCCTTTTTTTATGACATATATATAATTAGAAAATTCAATTTAAAAAAATTAATAAGAATAATATTTTATTGTTAAGATATAAAATCCATCATATAAATATCTATAAAACAACATTATCTATGAACGATGGGATTAAAAAATAAATACACGAAAAGATAACCTCCGGTTGAAAAAACAAAAAGTTTTCCGGGAACTGTTATTAAAATATTCCCAAAACGTGGATGAAGGAAGGTCAGCGGAGAGAAAGTCAATATGGGTTTTGGTAAGCTGTCAGCTGATGGACTATCGAATGGCAATATGGAGTAAAAAATCCCATGCAAGAAATCCATCTCTCCGTGGCCCCGGGGTGTGTAAGCTACTCTCTCTTTCATATTGCTGCAGCCAGCTTTATGAAGGCCCCCTCCCTTCTAAAAACATATTTATAGGCAGGCTGTGTGTGTGTTTTTGCTGTTTCAGGGGCCTTTTTTAACCTCCCTATTTATAGAGAAGCCGAATCATTGTTCCTATACATTATTTCATCTGATCTCTCCCTTTTTTTTATTTCCAACTATTTTCTTTTTGTCTCATCTTTAAACATTTCTTCC